AGGGGTACTTATCGTCTCAACGCCTTTGGCAAAGCAGATCACTCCTGGGGCAAAGAAAACGGCCCTACATGATTGTCGCCCAAGTGGAGAAGGTGATTTTGCTAAATCTTCCAGGGTGGAGTGGGTTCAGGAGATCCTGTGAAATCCCAAGGACACACTCAAATTTGTCCTGCTAGAGTAGGAAGAATTTCCCCTCCTCTAATTTCACCTGGTCCTCCTGGACTGTTTATTAGAGATGTATATTTTATATCAGCAGAGAGTATCAAGTAACTTCTTGGCAAGGGCAGGCTCTATTTTTCAGAACCTATTAAGATTTTCAGGACCTATTAAGATTCTTTGTGGAAATTTAAATACCTCTGTCAGGCAAACAAAATCGTATCAGGAATCATAGAATTTCATTGCTAGAAAGAGATACTAGATTCACCAGCCCTCGCTCCCTTCCTAGAAACTTCAGTAAAATAGAAGTATGTTTCAACAGTCCCTTACTTCCGGTCTGAAGGGCCTCACAAGAAATCTAAATGAATTTATATTAAAGAAAGCTATACTCTAGGAAAGCCCTTCAATCTACAAAAACCGTTATGTATTCAGATATTTACACGTATAGATACACATGTAGAGAAAGAATTGAGATCTCTAGTATAGATCTGAAGGCAGTGGCTATTTAAAATCAAAACAGCCAGAAAAATCCAGTGGTGCAAAAACCACAGCAAGTTCAATGCCGATAAGCTTCAACCCCTTAAAAAACCCTTGTCCTTTATTAATATTTAGTAGAAATGTATAATTGCAGATGTGTGCTAGTTTGGGGTTTTATATCGGGAGGCGGGCACAGAAGACAGCTTTATTACAGCCATGAAATATTAAACAAGCACCGAAGAACAGTAGTAGAATGTCCCGGACTAGCTGGGGAGCAAGCTGGCTGGGAAGCCAAGCTGCACAAAGGGGGCTCCTATCTGTTTACATTACCCCTGATTAACACCTGCGAAGTTTTGGGTTACATCTTCCGGAGGCGCAAGAGTCACATGAAGCCATGCAATCCGTGCTGGGTGATTTCGCAGGGAAGTGGGAAGGCAAGGCTCCTTGCCTTCCCAAAACAAGTCTGAGTGAGCCTAAAAAATTCTCTCCACGCTCAGGGCAGTGGGGGGAAAAGACTCAGGAAACACCCCGAGGACCCCCCTCCTCCCCCCCACCCGCCCTCAGCCTGCCCCCTGTCTAAGGAAACTCAATGTCCAAATCCTGCCTGCCTACAATTTCTCAGCACTGCTGACTATTGTCCGACCGGCACGCTGAGAGAAGCATGAAATTCCAACAATTTCTCCCGCATCACTGTAAAAAGATCATACTTCCAAAAAGGGCAGGATTGCATGCGCGGCGTACACGGAGCCCTCTCCTATTTCAGTGTGTGTGAAGGAACGTTTCTAGACGACTCTGGATTTCAGGACCAAGAGCAAGCCACGGCGGGGAAGTTTGACAAGGATAAACTTTAGCCTGGAATACGGTGAATCCAAGTTTTCAAAATTGTTCAAGGGCCAGGAGGGGGTGAACATACGTTTTTCAGACTTCATTCCCTTTATCTGCAATCTCTCTCTCTCTCTTTTTTTTTTTTTTCTCCTCCTCTGTTTTTGAATTCCTCCACAGCCACACACCTATCACAAAGATAGGTGGACGATGTTGCAAATTCATCTCAAATTCATGTAACCCTCACTGATATAACAGATGTTTGAATAGGTCCTAACTCAGGCTGGCTTCCCCCCCTTCACAACCTCACCCTTCTCCCACCCCAACTTTGTGCAAACAGAACCTCAGGATGAGATGAAGAGCCTCATTATTATAAAAGTTGTTTGGTGGTGGGTGAAGAAGTCAGGAGAAGCGTCATTTGGAGAGGCTCGCTTACCTGGTAGGAAAAAAACCCTAACCACACGTGATCCTGGCATGGACTTTGCCAGAACTACAACTTGCCATTTGAGTTCCCTCCCCTCCCAAGGACATCTAGACCCCATAAGACAATCTGGCCACGTCCCACTGACTACACGGCTCGTGCAGTCTGAAGACTTATTCGTTCTTTCCAATCCGAGCACAGATCACTTTGTTAAATACCGACTAGTATTTTGTCATCGGAGCGAAGAATTTCAGAAACGGTGTTAATATTTAATCACATTAGTACTGGCGTGTTTTACGGCGTGACAAAATAAAATACCATTACCAAAATGGGCTTTGCCTGAACGGGGGTGGGAGAGAGGGTCCTTGCTGGGGCCCGGAACCCCCAGAAGGTATATTCAAAGCTTCCGGACAGCCGGCTTCACGGCCGATGAGCCCACAGGCATGAGTTTAAGGAAAAGGAGAACGTTTTACTTTAAAAATTCTTTTCTTGACTCTATTTTGAAGTGGCACACTTCACTCTGATTTTCAGCCAGGGGACTCGGGGGCCTGTTGAAGGCTCTGTGTACCTATTTATACAACATGTGCAGATGGAGCTGCAGGGTGTTATCATAATGAAAAGTTTAATCATCCTTATTTACTACCAGTAAGGGAGCAAGAATCGGATGCAGATACCTTATAAAGCCTTAACTAGAAGCCCCAAGGCTGCAGAGGCTGTGAGTGACCTCAATTCGGGGCTTTATCTAGGAAACTGTCCTTCCCACATCACAGAGTGGAAAACAAAGGAGGTCAAGTGGGTGTCCCTGCCGAGGCTGCTAAGGAGGCCAGCCCCGAAGCCGGTCCCTGAAGGAAGTCCCTGTCCCCTCCGCGTGCAGGGGAGGGCTGCGTTCAGCTTACAGGGGAAATCAACCCTAAAGTGCCTAGCATCTGTTTCCAAAAAAATATTTTCGCTCCTCTGACTGTGATAATGCAACAAACAAAACCAAACCTATCTTTAGTGACATTTCTTCATGCACAGGCTGCAATCTTTTTTTTTTTTTCTGGAAAGGAAGACTGGTTGGGTTGGGAAGAGAGGGCTCTGTGACACCTTTAAAAAAAAATCTTAAAGCCACTCAATTCCTCTTTTCCTAGTCTGCTAGTCTGCGGAGGCCCTTCTGAAGACTCAGGCCACAGGCTACTGGGTTTTCCCCACCAATTCTCAACATCAGGGGTTTTTAAAAAACTTTTCTCACCCCTATTTTGGTCAATATGTTCTTAATTACTGGGAAAGGGGGAGGGGAGGACGGGGAGGAGGAGGGGCAGCCAGGCCCAGCCAGGTAGAAGTGACAGGGGCTGAGATTTGTGCTAACCAGCTATCGATCGATCCGTAGGTAGGATCGAGATGTTGTGTACAAGAAAATAAAAGAGATGGGGCTGGTGGGGGGGTGGGTGGCCCTGGGCACGCAGGATTCGGTGTCCAACCCCATTTTAAAAAGGAAGGGGGGTGAAAAACAGGGAGCAGAAGCTGAGGGTCCCAAACTAACCAATTTATGGCCTTGCCTAGGAGAAGCCTGGAGAATGCTGATGCTAGCCGGGGTCTGCTGTGCATGCTAAACACGGCTTCAAATGAGAGAGCGCGTCCCGGGCTGGGCAGGAGGCGAACAAAGAGAAAAGCCGGGAGGCAGCATTCATGAATTAGAAAAACCTAAGCGGGGAAAGCTCCCCGGGATGGCCGGGATGGCCGGCCGTGGTGAAAGCCCCGAGTTACCCGAGCCACCCAACTTTGGGGGTGTGCGCCCCCTCCCCCTCTCCTTCCTCCTAAAACCTGCCGGCCACCTTAAACCCAGGGTCAGGGGAACCGGGCCTAGGAAGTCTGAGGAAGAGAACTCTAAGACTGAGCAGGAATCAGGGGATGTATGTTTGAAAGGCAGGGTTCCACCAGCAGCCGCTGGCTCCGTGGTCATATTCGGCCTGGTGAAACCCAGGGGAGGCAACTAGGGCTTAAAAGAAAAAGTAGGGATGCAGGGGGAGGGGGAATGATGATGCTACCTAATTTTAAGAAGCAATTATCTGCGGGGGGTGGGGGAGAAAGGCCTCATTAAAACAAAATGGTTATCTATGGCAGTCCAATCCTCTTTTGGTTAAAAACAAAACCAAACCCAAAAAAACCTGTTATTACTTTAACTGCGATAGAGGTCCACTTACTAACCTCCACCCCACCCACCTTAAAGCCCCCCCCACCCCCGGGCCTGGTGGGGAGGCAGTGCTTAGACTGCAAACCCAAGAGCCGGGAACCAGACATCTGTCACCAAAGCCAGGTGAGATATTGACAAACGCGGGTCCTTTGTGTCTTAAGAATATATATCCATATCCCCCAGACACAAGTGATGTCCTGGCAGGGCCAAGCACACCCCGCCCCGGCCCCAGCACCCACCCCCCAACCGAATGTCAAGGAGACACACAGGGCAAAGCGGACCTGCCTCCTAGCACCAGACAGGTCTCCAGGTTCCCAAGGAAGCTCTAATAGTTAAGAAGAGACAAAACAGCTATTCATTAGGAACAAATGTCAAATTAGGCGTTGCCTCTGAGTGACACTGCTGACACCAGCGCTGGTAACTTTTTTTCCCCTAAGATGCTGGCACACGGAAGGGACCTCAGGCCGGAGGCTCTGGCTGACTAGGAAAAGGTGGGAAGGTATGAACACAACTTCCCAGGTGTCCCGCCAGGAAAGAGGGGCGGGGGAGAGGCACACAATTCCGACAGAGTAGAGGCAGCCCTGAATGTTGAGGGTGAGGAGGGGTCTTGGCGTGAAAGGCAAGGGGCCTGCCTAGTGGTCTGAGCACCCAGCAACTCAGCTAAAACTTGGCGACGGTGAAGGGACTCTGAGATAATCCCCAAAGGGCTGCCACCTAAGTCCCAGCTTGAGTGTGTAACTAGAACCTACCTGGCAGCATCTGGGGAGGGGGTGGGGAGAGCGGGGGATCTGCCGGCAGAGCCCTTGCTGTACCCAAAGGAAGGGTGTCGGGCTCTGGGCTGGACACTATGAGGGCCCTGTGCCCTCCTAACCCCAAGGGACGGTCCCCTTTGCTGGAGCATTGGAGGTGGAGGCTAAGGCCTGCGGTGGGGGTGGGGACAAGCACATATACCTTCTTTGCTGTTGGGGTTCTGGGGTTTGGCCTTCTCCCAAGGTGCCAGCGTCTTGTCGTCGTCCGCGCCGTCCACCAAGGCCTTGTCGGCAGGCATGTACCAGGTGGCGCTGTGCTCTGCCATCAGCGAGTCCAGGTCGATGGTGCTCATCGCACTCTTGACCGCCTCGGAGCAGCAGCTGCCCAGCTCGCTGTCGCCATTCTGCCCTCCCGAGGACCCGACGGCGCACTCCCCCTTCTTGCCCCCCTTGAGCCCCAGGGGCTGGTCCTCAGAGATGCTGAACTGCTGCCTCTGTAGCTGGATCTGCGCCTGGAGGATCTCCAGGGGGTGGATCTCGTCCCCGGGGGGTGCGCCGCTGCTGCTCGTGGGGGTCCGGACCTGCTCCAGGCCCGGCGTGCCGGGGTGGCCGGCGCCCCCGCCGTAGCTGTCAGGCGTGGAGGTAGAGGTAGACATGATGCCCAGGCCGAGCGGGGGCGGGGGCGCCTTAGGTCCGTGTTCCCCAGCGCCCACCCCACGGGGAGGGATCTTGGGCGAGCCTGCCACCAGCGGGCTCCTACTCGCTTTGGCCAGGGCTGGGGGGTTGTCGGAGCTGGATGACACCTCGTCCTCGTTGGCGTAGCTGGTGCTCACCTCGTCCGAGGCAAACTCGCCCACGTGTGGGGAACTACCGTCTGACTTGGCCCCGCCGTCCAGGGAGGCCATGAGGTCCGACTGGTCCCCCAGGAGCAGCTCGGCCCCCTTCCCCCACGACGGCGACGTGAGCGCTTTCTCGTGAGGCGTGGGAGCCCCGCGAGCCTCGCTCGTGGAGGTTCCCCCGACGGCTGCGCCCGGCGCCTGCTGCTGCCCCGGGCTCACCCCAGGCGCGCCCCCGCTGTCTGGCGCGGCCGAGTACTTGTCGAAGAAGGTCCCGGGACTCACGTGACCACTGTCCCTTTTTCTTCGACCCCTTCCCCGGCCGCCGCCCCCGGGGACCGGCTTGCCGTCGTTCCCGGATGTTGATTCCAGGGTGTAGTTTGGGGAGAGGCTGGTGCCGTCCCCCTGGGCGGGCGGGTTGGGCGGCCCTGAGGCTTTGGAGCCACTGCTACTAGGCCCGGACGGGCCTCCGGACCCCTGGGCCCCAGGGGCAGTCCCTCCCGGGAAGTAATCCGAGCCCGGGTTGCCGGCCACAGCCGCGCCGTCCGTCTCATTCTGGCTCAGTTTCCTCTTGCCCTCGGGCGGGTTCTTCTTGTTGAAGGTCACGTTGAGGTTGGGGGCCCCGAGGCTGGCGATCATGTTCTGGCAGGCGGTGGAGAGCGCGGCCAGGCAGCTCTGGCCGAACAGGTTGTCCTTGGAGCTGGGCTTGTTGAAGGAGCCCAGCGACAGCGCGCCCAGCTTACTGGCCGAGCTGCGCTGGCTGGGCTGGAAATCGGGCTGCGGCGGGTAGGCGCCCCCGCCGCTGCCGCCGCCCGAGCCGCCCCCGCCCCCGCCCGCGCTCGGGGGCGAGTTCACGCCCGGGCCGCTGTGCGGCGTGGCCTGCCGGTTCGCCGCGCTGAACGGGAAGCCAGGCTGGCCCCCGAGCGCCGGGGCCGCGAAATCCGGCGGCGGGGGCCTGCGCTCGGAGGGAGCGCTGGGCAGCCCCACCCCGGCCCCGGGCGACTGCAGTTGGCCCAGGCCGGCCAGGCTGCCCCCGAACTGCAGGCCGGGGGAGGGCAGCGCGGGCACGTGGCCCTCTCCGGGCATCCTCAGCGGCTCCTGCAGAGGGCCCCGGAACAGCACTCCGGAGCCGCCAGGGGGAGGGGGCGGCGCCAGGCCGGGGTCGTGCGGGCCGCAGTCAGCCGGCAGACCTGAGCCGCCCATCCTGCGGGGCAGCAGGTCACCGGGCGGCGGGTGCGGCCCCGGGAACCACGCGCTCTCCTGCGCCAAGTGAGGCGCCTGCTGCTCGAAAGTGCCCAGGCGCCCCGCGCCCGCGCTTTCGCGCTCAAAGTTCGGCTGGGCCAAGCCGCCCACCGGGCCGCCGTGTACCAGGCCACCCTGGCCCACGTCCCCGGGGTGGCCTAGCTGAGCCAGGTTGGGCTGGCGCAGCCGCTGCTGCTGATTCCGCGAAGCCATCTGCTTAATCATGAGGGCCGCGTTCTGGCGCTGCTGCTGCTGCTGTTGCTGCTGCTGTTGCTGCTGCTGCTGCTGCTGCTGCTGCTGCTGCTGCTGCTGCAGGGACTGGTGGTCCGGGGCCGGGTGCTGCAGGGGTGGCCCTGAGGGAAAGCTGTCGGGCACAGGCGGCGTGAACTCGCCGGGCAAGCCCGAATAGGCGGAGGGCGAGAGGTGGTTGTCCAGGGCGCCGTTGTGCATGCTGCCGTTCCACGAAGCGCAGCGGTCCACTCCCGCGCTGCCCGGGAAGTCAAAGCGCGGCCTCTTGGCCACGTTCATGTAGGGGGGCGCGTCGAAATGCTGCAGCCGCTGGTTGGGCGCCTGCTGGGGAGGGGGGTGCTGCATGTTGAACACGGGCTCCGAATACGGGTGCATGCTCCGGTTCTCCAGCCGGTGGATGGGATACTCGAACTGTGCGTGCTGGCTGGGCAGCATGGGGCCCCCGTCCTGCAGGCCGCCGCTGGGCGTGCCCGCCTCGCCCTGCGGGGGCCGCGGGAGCGCAGGCGGGCACGAGTTTTGTCGGACCAGGAGCCCGGGTGGCGGCGGCGGCGGCGGCGGCTGCTGCGGCGGCGGCGGCGGCTGCTGCGGCTGCTGCGGGGGCTGCTGCTGAGGGGGTGGCGGGGCTTGCGGGGGAGGCTGCATTAACGGGTGCCTGGAGCCTACTCCCGGCTCCAAACCCACGGGCATCTTGCGGGCCCCGCCAAACCTCTCGAAGAATACGCCGTGCTGTTGTTGTTGCTGCTGCTGTTGCTGCTGCTGTTGCTGCTGCTGCTGTTGCTGCTGCTGTTGCTGCTGCTGCTGCTGCTGGGCGTGCATTTTGGACAAGCCCACCATGCCTGCGGCTCTGGGCATGGCCGGGGCACCGGGGAAGGAGCCCCCGGGAACCTGGCGACCCGCCGCATAATGAGGCAGCTGCCCTTCGGAATCGGAGGGCGAAAACATGTCGAAATGTCCCGAGGGCGCCTCGCCAGGGTAATTGTATTCCAGCGAGTCGACGGCTCCTTGGTTCGCCACCCTTCGGGGCTCCAGACTGTGGGAATCGGAGCTGCTGGAGGCTGGCAGGCCGTGAAAGGAGGCGGCTCGGTTAGGGCTCTGGTCCAGCGGCAAGCACGGGGCAGGCACCGCATGGCCCGAGGCGCCCGAACTGTGGAAGTCCGGGAGGTTCCCGGGTCTCTGCGGGCCGAAGCTCTCGGGCCCCTGGCTCTCCGCCATGTGGTCATAACCCTCCGCGAAGGGCGGCTGGCTGCCCAGGCCGCCGGAGGCGCCGCCGTAGCCGAGTAGGCGACCTCCGTGCAGGCATGAGGCCCCTGGGTCCGGACCGCCGAAGTTGCCCCCAAAGTGGGGGTGATGTTGGTGGGGGTGGTGGCCTCCCGGGTGGCCGTGGTGCGGCTGCTGGCCTCCGAAGAATCCGTGCACCGGCTGTGCCTGCAGCCCCCCCGCGTGCAACTCCGAGTGACCACGCGCGTGGAAGCCGTAAGGCTCCATGTTCATGCTCAAGATCGGGGGCTCGCCCAGCGCGCTCATGGCAGGGTCCACCGGGCCAGGGGGTCCCCCCGCGTGGAAAGCCGGGGCCTTAAAGTGGGCATTCATGCTTAGTCCTGCCTCGTTAAAGTTCCTCTCGCCCTGGCCAGCGTTCCTGCTGTTGATCTGGGGCTCGAATTGGTCCAGCCCAAACATACTTGGCGGGGGGCGGGGGATCAATAGGGCATGACAGCCTGCTCTCCGCGGCGCGCCTCCGGCCAGCTAAACGTTCCGACCCAGGGTTGGGCGCTCCGGGACGCTCAGCACCGCGGGGGCGCAGTGCGCACAGCCACCTCGCTGGCGTCTGGAGGCTGGGGGGTATCAGCTCCTCTCCCGAAGCTCTGGCTCTGCCCGACCCGGGCCTCTCACATCTTGCGGTGCCGCGAGGCCTCCAGGAGCCGTGCTGGGGGGCCCATGCCCCGGCAGTTGGCACAGCCGCGGGTGGGTTTGCACGGAGGGCACGGAGCTGCGGGCGAGTGGAGACAAAAAGTTAAGTGGGGGGAAGGAGGAAGGGAGAGAGAAGCGATCACCTTCTTAAGTCCGATCCGGGTCGGGTGGGAAGCCCCAGGACGTCTCCCGAAGCCTCCCGGAGTCCGTGGCGGAGCTGCTAAGGGGCCGAGCAAGGAGACCCCTCAAAGCCGTGGCTGGCGCTCGGGCATGGACAGAGCAGTCCCTCCCCCCCGCCCCCCGGAGTCCCCGCGCTCCGCAGCCCAAGCCTTCGCCGAGCACGATCCGCTTGCACAGTCTCCGTCGGCCCCGAGCAAGCGGCTATTGCTTCTTCAGCGGGTCGGAGGGCTGGACGCTCCGCTCGGCATCACGGGTGCGGGCCCTGAGCCGAGGGCGCAGCGGGGCTGGGGAGGCGGCGGGCGCCCCGGGTCCGAGGCGAGGTTTGAGGGAAGGTGCGGTTCCCCTGTTCCGCGGCGGGTGCTCTGCACCCCGGCGCGCCGCTTCGCGGCCACGTCTGCCGCCTGCTGCTTCTGTCCTCCTCTATTCGGTCTCTGAGTTCACAGGGGTCTCCGCGCCCGGTTCCAGGCGCGGGCAGGCAGCGAGATGAGAGGTTGGGTCGCTCCGAAGCTCGGGTTCCGTGCCTCCGCGCCGAGGTGCTTCGCGAGTCCCCCTCGGACCCGAGGAGGGGGGCGTACGCGGGTTGGGGGGCCACGCCGGGCGAGCGGGCTGAGGCGTTCCGGCTACGCTCTACGAGCCCGGAATGGGGGGGCGGGGGCAGTCCTGGGGGGGTCCGTGCACCCCTCTCCTGGCTGGCGGGGGGGCTCTGCGTGGGGCGTTCCGAGGGTCTCGGCTCCCCTCTCGGTGTCTGCCTCTCGCCCAGCGCCGGGAGAAGCAGCAACAAGTTTTGCATTTCAGCAATCAATTTCAGCCATTACATTTGCACCAATCAGCGCAGCCCGAGCTCCGGTCCCGGGGCGGGGCTCGCTCTTAAGGTGGTCCCGGTTGCTGGCTGCTGAGGCCCCCGCCATGAACCCGCACTTCGCCAGCTCCCGAGTCCCCCGCTCGGGTTTTGCCTCGGGGTCCGGCGCCAGTGCGCTGGGGGGCGCGCCCTGGCCTCCTGGCGCATCGGGGTGGAGAGGGCGCAGGCGGAGAATGGCGGGAGCTTTGCTTTGTTCGCCCCCCTGCCCACTCACACAGTTCCCAACTCCCCACCCCTAACTGAAGCGAGACCTGCGGGGTGGGCAGGGGGCGGGGAGGTGGGCGGTAAGCGGTGCGGGGCGCTTAGACAATGGGGTCGCCAAGCAAAGCTCGCCGACTCGGCCAGGAAAGTCGCTGAGAGCGAACTGCGCTTCAGCCCCGGCGCGATCCCTCGGTTCTCCGCCACTGTTTGCCTACTAGTGGCACCCAAGTTATCCGGCCCTCGGATTTTCCTGGAGGTGAAAGCAGACGGGGGACCCCGAAGTTAGGGTTCTCCTCGAAAGACCCGGGCCCTTGCTCACTCCTCCTCAGCAGGGCGCGCACAATCGTTCCCTGTCTGGGGTTCCCCCTTCTCGGTCGCCGGCTTCTGCCCAGGGGAGCCTTAACCACTCGGCCACTTGTGGGGGCGTGCGGGGGTGCACCTCGGATGAACGCGGAGCCGGAGAAAAGACCCGCGCGCAGAGGGGGAGCGGGCCCGCTGGAGGATCCTACCCCGGACACCCGGGCCAAGGCCCAGGCCCTCTGCGGGCGGGAGGTTGGCCTCCTTAAGAGATCAATTAAACTGAAGAGGCCAAAGAACGGAATTGGGTTGTGATACTAAAATCAATAGGAGTAATTTAATATCTGCCCTGCTCTTTATGAAATATTTATCCCAATAATCTTAGTTAAAATGTTTAGATCTTCCTGATCCCCACTGAGGCTGAAATCTATCTTGCAATTAGAAGTTGGGAGTTAGTGGGGATGGAGGGTAGGGAAGGTGTTTATTCTGTGTGCCTGCGTGTGTGTATTTTCCTCCCTGAAGTGCGCGTCAGGGAGGAAGGGGGAGAAGGCCTGTAATTTCCCTTGCCGTAAAATAGCGCGAGGCGATTTTGCTAGCAGACCAGCATTCTTAGGAGAAGGGGAGGGAAGAAAAAAAAAAAGAACTTTCTTTGAAGTGCCCCTGATATCGCTATTAAATCTAAATAAAATTAAGCACGGTGTATAAAAATGCCTTTTCCCCCCACAAAAGAAAGTGTTTATCACCCAAGTCTGTCTAGCGTTTGCTAAATTGCGCATGAAATCTGAAATGAAATAAACGTTATAATAAAACCAACCCCTGAGCCCTTTTTATTTAAAAACCTCAGCTTAAGCACTCCACCGTCGCGGGCGGGAGTTAAAAAGTTACCACGTTGTGTGCACACCGATTCATTGCTCCCCAGAGTCCCTGCTGGGAAAGCACACTTTGGGTGTTACAGAGCCAAAATGCCAGGAACACGGGCTCAACTTGGGGAGGTGAGGACAGCGAGCAGGGGCTCTTGAGGGACTCCCGAAGAAAATAACACCCCTCCCAAAAAGAATAAACATAAAAACGAGCAATAAAAACTTGCAACTTTGAAACTCTGGGAGCTGAAGCTTGCTGGGATCCAGGGTCCTTCCTGGGACCTTTCTGTGGTGGATGTCTATCCAGATATTTTTTTTTTCTTTTTGAAATTAAAAATGAAAACGACCCCCACCAAAAATGGGGTCCATAAAGAAGCATCGGGCAGAAGTATTTGTACAGGGCGGTGGAGTTTTAAAAGGATTTTTCTGCAAGATCAGGTTGTTGGTCTGTGATTAAATATTGATTTTGTGTAATTAGTTTTCATGTGAACTATCCTCTTGCTGATAGCTTAGAGGTTTCAGAACTAGAAAGAAATGGAATCGGACATGGAAATTATTACTTAGCAAAGTGACAGGGAAGCGAGAGCCGGAAAAGACTGAGGCTTGGCTGGTTCAGGCACAAAGAAATAAAGGTGCTGGACAGGCCTCCGGCGACCCCACCCCCACCCCAGGCCCTGGGCCGGAGCAGGGGAGACCCCGAGCTTCCTGCTCAGGCAGGAGACCACTAGAGGGGATGGTGGCCAGAGGGAGGATGGGTTTGGGCAAAGGCCCATGCAAAGCCCATGTCACCTGGTCGCATACCTCGTCCAGAGCCACTGGGTGCTGGGTGGCTCAGCAGGCCCTCTGTGAAGAACATCACGTCTCCTTGTGTGTCTGGGGGGAATGGTGGCAATCGGGACCTGTCTGGAGCCCTGGGTGGGCCAGGGCAGCGGGAAGAATGGCCCACAGACCTGCCGACCGGGGAGACCCCGGTTGGGGCGTGTCCCAGGCCCAGGCATGACTTCACATGGGGGTGAGGGTCCCCTGAACACCTGGGCAGGTTTCCTGTGGAATAACTGTGTGCTCCGGGGGGGTGGGGGGAGACTATTTTTCTGGGGCTGTTTCCAAGAGTTCAGTCTACAAGGTGTGTGAGTGTCTGAAAGGAGGGTGTGTTGAGGCCTGGCTGGCCTCCCTTCAGGATGTGTCTGGGTCATTTTTCCCTAACACTACGAGTGTTGTGCGGGTGTGCGACGTATGTCCGCGTCTTCGCCTGGGTGGGCGCGGCGGGGCACCTGTGTGTGTTTGGGTACATGCCTTCACAGGCCTCTGGGTGTCTCCGTCAGTGTCCCCCGGGGGGAGGTGCTGTCGTCTGTCCCCAACCCTATGCCTCTATGTGTGTGCACGCCTGTGTTTGTACCTACAGCTGTGCGTGCCCACGTCTCTGCTCGAGCGTGTACACTTCCTCTGTGAGTATGAGAGTGGACATCTGTGCCCGTGGATGTGCTGGCGTGGGTGCCTCCGCGGCGTGGGCGCCCCTGCGTGTGCTTGTGTGTGCACTCGGCCTGCAAGGGCCCGCAGTTTCTTTGGAACAGACACATTGCCCCCTAGCGCTCAGATGACTCAAAGTCCCCGCCAGCTCAGAGCAGGAGCAGCAAGGTCCACCCCCAGGCCCTTCTCTTTCCCATTTCCCCTCCTTAGGCCCTGCTCCCCGTGGGGTGCCCGATGCATCCAGACGGGGACCTTCTGGATGGGGAAAGGAGACCGCTGAACTGGGCCCCGGAGCTGAAGAGAACCGCTCCCGGCTTGGGACAAGAGGGGGCTGCCTGGAATGGCCCAGAGTTATTCCACAGGAAACTGGAGCCCTCCCTCCTGGGGCTCAGAGCCTGGCATGTTCGAAACAGCCCTGGAGCCCCAGTCTAAAAGGGGGCCCCCACCGGTGAACACCCCACCCAACAAGGCAACCGACACTCAGCTTCTTCACCCAGTAGACACAGGGCCCTCACACCTCCCCATCAGGTCCCCAACACCAACACAGGCACACACATGCCCCTACACACCTGCAGAGTGGATGTACACACTCACACGCGTGCATTCACACACACACCCATAGGGGACATGTCTGTATACATATATGTGCATTGACACACACCCATGGGGACATGTCTGTACACACACACACACATGCATTCATGCACACACACCCATAGAGGAGGTGTCTGTACACACATGCATTCACACACTCACCCATAGGGGAAATGTCTGTACACACTCACACATGTGCATTCACACACCTCGATAGTGGATGTGTCTGTACACACACGCACACGTGCATTCACGCACACACCCATAGTGGACGTGTCTGTATACACACACATGCGTGCATTCACGCACACACCCATAGTGGACATGTCTGTACACCATAATAGCTACTGGGTGTGGAAGGCTCAGTGCTAATCACTTTACATCCAGGGTGCCATTTCATCCTCATAAGAGATCCACCAGATTGGGGCTCTGAACTCATTTTACAGATGAGGACATGGAGCCTCACACTAGCCAGGTGACCCTCCCAAAGTCAAAAAGTGGCAAAGCTGGGATTCTAAACCAATCCACCTGACCCTGAGACCTGGCTCTTCACCACTGTCTGCTCTCCCTCAATGTTCAGGTAAAGCACCTGGCACAGTGCCAGGGACACGGTTAAGTGCCAGGAAGTGTTCGTGATAAAAGCTACTTTTATCGCTACTGCCATAACTATCATTATTCATATTATTGTGGCCACGGTGAGTATTAGTAGTCTCTGTGTGTCCCCCGCACACACAAACATGAGAAAATAGCACACACACGCACACACACACACACACACACACACACACATCCCCAGCCTTTCCCGCCCTTTAGAGCCTGG